TGTATACCTAACCCTGAATTGTACCCTAATTTTATAATAAACAAATAATTTTTTTTTAAAAAAGGAGGACAAGAGATAGAGAAGAGAGATCAATTTTACAGAAACAAGATTGCATTAAGCCATCAAAATTTAGTAAGTTAAAAATATAGAACATTAATTTTCCAAAAAGTGTCATTGCTACTCCATTCTCCCAATGCTTCAGTATAGCCTGCAAGAATTTTAAAATTTCAAATTTTGCATTTTTGATATCATAACCTTTTCCAAGGATGCTGCCAAAATGGTAATATGATGAATGTGAGTGATACCAACATATATAAAATAGAATCAGTGGTATCATATGATACAAGGTATAGTGCCTAAAATAAAAATCTATGCCCAAAGCCTTCCCTTAACCTACATTATAGAAACCTAGGTGTTGGTTGTGCTATTTTTGTTTCAGTTATCCTAATAAAAAGATGTCATTTTGAAAAAAAAAACTTTCACTAGCAAAGGATAAAAGGGAATTTCCACAGTCTAATAAAGACTCTTCCAAAACCCCCACAGCAAACTTCATGCTTAAGTGGTGATAGGAACAGATACGAAATCTGTTGTGTGCTCTTTCTTTTAAAGTTAAGATGCCTACTATCAATGCTTATACTTAATACTGTATTAGAATCCTAGCCAGGGCCATTCAAAGTTTGAATTTAATTAATTATATTTAATTTTAATTAAATACACTTAATACTTAAATCTAATTAAGCATATACACTTAAATTTATGTATTTTATTTATTTATTTTAGAGATGGGGTATTGCTATGTTGCCCAAGCTAGACTCAAACTTCTAGGCTCAGCTTTCTAAGTAGGTAGGGCTATAGGCAGGTGACACTATACCCAGTTTCTTAAGTACACATTTCATTAAATACACTTAAAAGCAGAAGAATTCAAGAGAAGCAAAATTGGTTATATGATCGTTTAGAAAATGCAAGGGAAGTTTTAGAACAAATAAGAAAATCCACCAAAGTTGGCAGATTTGAGATGGATAGCAGAAGTTGAAGAACGCATGCCTGGCATCATAAACTGAAATTCTAAGTAAGCAGATGAGACAACCCATTAATACAAATAACATAAGCAAAAAGACCTAGAAAGGAGCTGAGCCTAGAAAGAAGACTGCGGACTCTTGTAAAGGGTCTCCTGCCATGCTAGATCAAGTCTAGTATCTGCAAGGCCCCATCCACCAGGTTCCTGGCTCTGTGGCTACTACAGCTCTTTCCCAAAATATGCGCCACAATCTGTCTAAATTAACCTGATAAACGTCTGCACCTGGGACTCCAAAGAGCCCAACAAAACTGGGCACAGGGATGTATGTCTGTAACCCCAGCAACTCAAGAGGCTGAGGTGAGAGGATTCCTTGAACCTGGCAGTTTGAGACTAACCTGGACAGGATAGTGATACCCTGTCTCAAAAAAGAGCCCAACTAAAACCTAAGTACACGTGGAAGATAGACACATCTTCAGAACTAGAATAAGTGACTTTAATAATAAGCTCTAATACTTAAAATTATAATTTTTATTTATTTATATTCATTTACAAAGTCCATCAAACACTATCAAACACTATCAAACAGAAGTAGTATTATAATTCGCAGCAGCAAATAATCTCTAAAGCACTAGTACGTAGTTTGAAAAGTATCATGAATCTTTGCAATGGATATACCCTCCCAATGAGATTTTGCTTAGACTACTATTAAAATAAGATTTAACGTACTGAACACAGAATAACTGATAACACACCCAGTAGTGTGCCGAGATGTCAACTTTTGCCCAATGAGTATCCTTATGTTGGACAACATATGCTGAAATCGTTGAACTTCAATAGCCTCAGGGATGAAGCCAGACAAAATGAACCACTGTTGAATTTTTATACCATAAAATTAATATGAACCTAATAAAGTTTAATAATATACAGTGGCATATGCAAAAAAGTATGACTTTTCAATATTGGCACAGGCCACCTTCAACCACACTACTGAAGGACGTTCAATGCCCTCTGTGTTTTTTCGAATTGCTGGCAAAGGATTTGGATGATGGCAATTCTATCATATGCTTCCTCAAACTCAGGCTCTTTTCTCGAAACCTACTTCTTTCATAATTCAGAACATATTGTCCAGTATGGTAGCCACTAGTTCCTTGTGGCTACTAAGCCCTTGAACAGGGATCAATATGCTAGAAGTATATTCATACTGGCTTTCAAAGACTTTGTAAATTTTTTTTAAATATTAAAATCTCATTAATAATTTTTTCACTGATTAAGTGTTGAAATAATAATATTTTTATATTTTGCATTAAATAAACCATATTGCTAAAATTAATTTTTCCTGGGGTTTTCTTTTCACCTTTTTAAAAATATGTCTACCAGAAAATTTTAAATTTCACATATGGCTCACTTTTGTGACTCACATTACATATCTACTGGACAGCACTGATTTAGAAAGTCAAAGCATCCAACAAGAGAGCAGGGAAACATCCCACAGAATGGAAAAAAAGATTTACCAACTGTATTTCTGACAAAGGCCTAACATCTAGGAGCTACAAGGAACTTAAATGCACCAAAAGGAAAAAAAAACAGCCCCTTTAAAAAGTGGGCAAAAGATATGAATAGACACTTCTCAAAAGAAGATATGCAGGCAGCTACCAGACACATGAAAAAGTGCTCTGCCTCACTCATCATCAGAGAAATGCAAATCAAAACCACACTGAGATACCCCTATAAGAATGGCCATCACTAATAAAACAAACAACAACAGATGCTGGCGAGGATATGGAGAAAAGGGAATGCTTCTACACTGCTGGTGGGAATGCAAACTTATACAACCTCTCTGGAAAACAGTCTGGAGATTTCTGAAAGAACTAGAAATTGACCTTCCATATGACCCAGCAATTCCCCTATTGGGAATATACCCGGAGGAACTCAAATTATTCTACAAAAATGATACCTGCACACATATGTTTGTTGCAGCTCTATTCACAGTAGCAAAAATATGGAACAAATCGTGTTGCCCATCAACGCTAGACTGAATTTTTAAAATGTGGTACATATACACAATGGAATATTATGCAGCCATAAAGGACAAATATATGGACTTTGTAGCAAATTGGATGGATTTGGAGTCTATCATACTCAGTGAGTTATCACAGAAACAAAGAACTGAGGTCCATATGTTCTCACTCATAAGCAATTATAAATGCTATAAGAAAGTGATTGGCAGTAGTGGGAAACTGTCAGGGGAGGGGGGGTGGGACTGGCAGTTGAGGGAAACTGCTAGGGGAGGGGGGCATACCTCATCAACAAGGGTACCTGCATGATCAATGTATACCTAACCCTGAATTGTACCCCACATCTTTATAGTAAATAAATAAATTGAGAAAAATTTTTTTTTAATTTTTAAAAGAAAGTCAAAGCGTATGTTAAATTGTGTGCCTATGAGACTTAAACATTAATAAATATGTTTATAAAACTCTTTGTGTCATTTGATAGCACATTCCTATAAAAACAGGTATAATCTTGTAATGATAGTAAAAAAGAGGTACCATTTATATAGTTCCAACTTTTTAACAAGGGTAGTGCTAAGTGCTTCAGATAAATAATCTGCAATCCTCCCAACAGGACGGAGTAATTTGGATCAGGAAGACTGAACAATTTTTTCAAGACTACACAGCTCAGATGTACTAGATCCAGGCTGTGAATGCAGGTCTGCCTGAGGACAATGCCACTACTCAGTGGTACTTGGAGAAAAGAAACTGGGAGAAGCCCTGTTGGGCCATCTCTTTGAAGTCTATCACTATCCAATTCGGATGGGGATTATCCAAGCGATATGCCTCTCGTGACACTCTCTTTTGGACACTGTAGAATGAACAGCCTTGAAAACTAGCACATTGACCCAACTGACCAAAGAGGCCCATTGCTCACCTACTTGAGAAAAGATCTGCAGAAGTGACAAGGTGGCCATGAAGCAAAGAGTGCCAGAGGCAGCTGGGAAACGGTTCCAAGTAAGGTGTGGTCAGCTGCTTTGGGTGTCATCTCTTAGATGAGTTCCTCTGCTTAATCCTTAATCCTTAATCCCTAGCTTGGTCAAGATTCTGACTCTAATCAGAATCTTTTTTCCAACTCTAATCAGAATTTTTCTTTCTTTCTTTTTTCTTTTTTTGAGTCAGGGTCTCACTCTGTTGCCCAGGCAATGGTATGAACATAGTTTACCATAGCCTTCACCTCCTAGGCTCAGGTGATCCTTCCACCTCAGCCTCCTGAATAACTGGGACTACAGGCACGTACCACCATACCCAGCTAATTTTTTTTTTAATTTTGTAGAGAAAATATCTCACTGTGTTGCCCATGCTGGTCTCAAACTCCTGGGCTCAGGTAATCCTCCCACCTCAGCCTCCCAAAATGCTGGGATTACAGGTAGGAACCACCACACCCAGCTAGTCTATTCTTAAAATGCACAAGTTACAGCAGCACTAAAAGAGTGGGAAGTCCTGGAATACCTGAGCTGGAAGAAACTTACAACACCACCATCTGCAAGAGACGGAAGCAGACTAGTCATACTAAGACAGATTGCCAAAGCCTGCTGGAACTCCAAACACCTTCTGCCACCAAGCTTTGGAAAAATTAGGCATGCAAACCTTTGGCACTTCTTCATCCATCTTCTCCCCCAAACCTTCCCAACTGAACATGTGATGGAAGTCTACAGACATTCTACTCAGCATTACCCACAAAAAGCAATTTCCCTTCCTGCAGCTGTTGAAAAAGTGCAAGTGAAAAGTGGAGATGAGGGGGGAATGGTGGGGAAGGGAGGGAGGAAAACCAGCCAGAAAAAAGAAAAAACACAGAAGGCAACAGTGACATTCAGACTTGAACCTAGGAATTTTTGAATGGTTCAGAGTGGGACACTCTGTCACCTCTGACTTAATTAGAAGACTGTTTTCAGGATGCCGAAGGTCTAGGCTCATAATCAAGCACTTACGTAATCCTCCTCATTGAGCCCTTGTTTCTCAACAGAACTTTTCACCTCCATGGAAAACTTCTCAAACTCAGGTTTCACTGTCCTCAGTAGAGTGACTGTCTGGAGGGATGAGTACGCTTGCTTAGCTTCAAAGTCGTGTTTGTCTCCTCTCTTCCACGAGCCATCTCCTACGGAAGAAACAAAAATATTTATAATTCCAAGCCAGTCACCATAAAGAAGCCATTCTGCCTTTACAACTGTGATGTGTCCCCTACATGTTACTTTTGGCAGCCAGAGCGAGAGGTATTGTCATAGTTTTGCACTTGGGTATAATGTGACGTCAAGACTGTTAGGGAGAAGAAGGCCCTTTGGACATGTTTCCTTTGATATGTGAGCAAGAAAGAAAAGTACTGTTGAGGTAATTGCCTTATAATAACCACGTAACTGCGATTTTCAGCCCCTCAGGGTTTCAGCACTGCAGGAATAAGAAGTAAGTTTTTATTCAACTGTGGAAGTGACCCAAGTGGTTAGTGTGGTATAATAAACCTGGTGTTATGTAACTGTGAGATGACAGGTCGCACCATTGCACGACAATAGACATGCACAAGTATTAAATACATATGCAAGCACAGTTAAAAGAAAAAAGTCTGAGATTATTGATATTCCTTAAATCTCTTCAGGGTGAAATACTTAAAGATTTGTATCTCTCTAGTGCTGACAATAACCTTAAAAAAATTATTTCTTGGACAATGTCCACCAATGCATCAATGGTAATAAAAACTGCTAACACTTATTAAGCACATAAAATAATAATAATAATAGTTCTATTTTTTAGCACTTTCCATGTATAAAGACATTTAATCCCCTAAGACTCCATGATGTAGGTACTATGACCCTCTCTATTTTACAGATAAGGAAACGGAGGCATTGAGAAGCTGGGTAGCTCACTACATCCCAGGTCACTCTTTCACAAAAGTAAAGACAGATTACATGGCTAAGAATAATAATTCTTCTCTTTATTATTTCATTTTCGAGAAAACATGTGACCTCCAGGGCCCCAAAAGGCAAGGTGGACCTTTAACTTTTGACAATTAGCTGTTTTTCCTAGACCTTATTATGATTCCTGGAGTCCAGCACCAAAGTCGTTAATTTGCCCTGAGCCTCCAGCCCATGGCAAGGCCTTGAGCCCAACAGCTAAGCAATGAAGATGCCTCTGCGGTGTGCAGCCAGGACTCTGCGGCACTCACTCTACTCTTCCAGAGTAAGTTCAACAAAGACCTGATGGCTTTGGAATTGCTATCTCAGCTTGAATAAAATAAACATTATAAGCTACGTACTACATGCAAGGTCCTGAGACAGCCACGGTGGGCATTAAAAATGTCTTGAGCAGTCTCCTCTGCATTCAAGAGAGAGACTAAATGTCAGACACAGAAACAACTCAAATTATTGCAGGGTATGACTAACAGCTAACCATGGGGGATACAAAAAAACAACGCAGAGTATAAAGGAAGAGGCAATGAGCACCAACCTGGCCAAAGGTTTCCTGTGAGGAGACGCCATTAGCCTAGCCTCGTCCTAGACGTGTGAATAGGATTTTAATAGGAGAGGAGGATAGAAAGACATGCTTGGCTGAGCCTATAGCATGGGCAAAGGTGCAAATGTGCATGGCATCCAGTAGACAGCTGGAAGCCTCGGTCTGGAGCCCGAAAAAAGGCAGAGACAAAGAATGTGTTTGTGGAGGCATCTGTATAATCATAATCCTAATTATAGCAACCACTTATTAATTGCTTACTATGTGCCAGGGAGCTGCTAAAAATTAAATAAGACACAGCTGAGGACAGAATTCATTAAGGACGAGATCTGTGTTCAATGAGCACAAGATTAAATTTCAAGCCACCAAACAAAACTTGACAAAGTCCTCCTCCTCTTCTCTGAAACCTCCCAGACACTGTGGAGTCCACAGGGTGAGCAGAATCATACTTGTGCTCAGAGAGCCAGTGAAAAGGTATCAATGCCATGAGACAGGTAAACCAGCTGGGCTCAATCACTGGGACACAGAGAGCATGGCCTTTGTTAAAGGGCCAACTCCATTGCCAGGAAGATCCTAAATTCTTTTTTTTTTTTTTTTTTTTTTTTAGTTGAAGTCTCACTCTGTTGCCCAGACTGGAGTACAGTGGCACGCTCTCGGCCACTGCAGCCTCCACCTGCTGGGCTCCCGCTATCCTTCCGCTCAGCCTTCCAAGTAGCTGGAACTACAGGCGCGCGCTACCACGCCCGGCTATGGACCCTAAAGTCTAAGAGTGTCCAGGAAATCTTCATCCCACAGAGGAACCCATTACTTATAGCATGCAATAAGTATTTATTGATTCATTTTGAATTGGCAAAGTATCAAGATTCAGCAGAGGGCATGTCTCTTGGGCATAGGGACCTGAGTTTTTTCAGATCTGGGAAAGAGTTCTCTCAGGGGCACAAGAAGTGAAATACTCAAACCTGTAGGTTTTTATGCTGTGTAACGAGGAAATACATATAGAACTAGAAACAGCAACTACCTTGGTGACTGAAATGATCCAAAATATTTTAATTTAGAAAGAAGCAAAATCCAGTATAATATATATGTCTACTACAGTCTAAAACGTAATAACTTTGGGATTTTGTTTTATAGGAAAAAAGAATGGAAATAATACTGCTTAATAAAGTTAAGCCAAGCTAAATAAACATCTATTCAAAACCATAATTAATACAAATACTTTCTACTTTTGTGGGCATTTCTTACTGTGATGTGTCAGTAACATCCCCCATATCAGAGCTGAACACTAGGAAAGCAGAGGTTGGCCTGGCATAAGGCCCCATCAGTGGGGACAAACTTAACTCAGTAGACAACTGGGTGCCTCTGGAGATTTATGAGCAGAACAGAAGAATGACATGATGAGAATTGGGCTTGGGAAATTGCAGTGGATTAGGGCAGGGAGACACTGAGTGTTCACAACTACAGCAATCCAGGCAAGAGGTTATGAGAGGTTGCATGTGGGAAGTCACACCAAAAACTTTTTTTAAAGATCTAAAAATCAACCTTCCTTATGACCCAGCAATCCCCCTTTCAGCGAATATATCCAGAGGAACTCATCACAATAGCAAAAACATGGAGCCAACCATGCTGCCCATTGAAAGTGGGCTGGATAAAGAAAATGTGGCACATATACACTATGGAATATTACACAGCCATAAAGAAAAACAAAATGATGGACTTCACAGCAACTTGAATAGGATTAGAGTCTATAATACTCAGTGATCTATTACAGAAACAAAGATCTGTGTATCACATGTACTCACTCAAAAGCAGACCTTGAACATTTATCAGTAGTGGGACACTGTCGGGGGGGGTGACATAACATCAGTAAGGGTACCCCAACTTTACCTATACGATGACCACTTATGTACCTAACCCTGAATCGTACTCCACATCTTTAAAATAAGAGAAAAATAAATAAAAATAAGAATGGTTATCTGGGTGAATTATGAACTAGTTTTCTTCTCTTTTTTTGCATTTGTCTGAATATAGTAAATTTTCAGTAGTGAGAATTTACTACTTTTATAATCATAGAAGGAAGCAGAGCCCTTAAGAATGAAAGCAGAAGCTTGTGCAAGAGGAATCTCGAGACCGTACAACAGCGAGGGAGTCAGGGACAACAGAGAGGGAGGCACGTCACAGATGACACCAAGGAGAAAAGGAAAACAGGTTATCATCACATGAAGTGGCAGAGCCAGATGGAAGGGGGTAGGTAGACGTGGAAATGATGATCTCAATTAAGGGCATGGTAAACCTAAGGCATCTGCAGAATGTCCAAGTGACAGTGCCAGGCTGGAGTTGGAAATAGTGGTCTGAAGCCAGAAAGAGGAATGAGAGCTAGAGACAGTGTTGGGTGTCATTACCACACAGCTCAAAGTTAGAACCCAAGAGCTATCTTGCTGGATATGAAAGAGTGTGCAGAAAAAGAAGGGAGAAGGGCAGAGCACAGACACTTTGGGGATGCTATTTTGAGTGGGCAGGAGGAGTGAAAAGAGATGGAGAGGCACTAACAGAGAACCCAAAAAATGCTATGTCACCAAAGCTAAGAGCATGGGGTTGCCAAAAAAAAGATGGATGGAAACAATATTGAATACTCTAGAGTCATGCTGTCTCACAAGAGTAGCCAATAGCCATGTGTGTGACTGTTTAAATTTAATTTACAAATGGATCAAAGACCTAAACGTAAAACCTCAAACTATAAAAATCTCAGAAAATGCAGGAGACACCCTATGAAAATTGGAATTGGCAACCATTCCTGATCAGAACCCTAAATGTCCATACTGTAAGAAATAAGATAGACAAGTGGGACCTCATCAAACTAATGAGCTTCTGCAAAGCAAAAGAAACTATCAAGAGAGGAGGGAGACAGCCCACAGAATGGGAAAAAATGTTTGCCAACTGTATATCTGACAAAGGTCTAACATCTAAGATCTACAAGGAACTTAAATGCACCAAAAGGAAAAAAACAAACAGCCCCATTAAAAAGACATGAAAGATAAAAGACATGAAAAGATACTTCTCAAAAGAAGATACATGGGCAGCCAACAGACACATGAAAATAAGTGCTCAGCCTCACTCATCATTAGAGAAATGCAAATCAAAACCACATTGAGATACCACCTAACCTCAGTAAGAATGGCCATCGTTAATAAAATAGACAACAACAGATGCTGGTGAGGATATGGAGCAAAAGGAACACTTCCACACTGCTGGTGGGAATGCAAACTAGTGCAACCTCTTTGGAAGACAGTGTGGTGATTTCTGAAAGAACTAGAAATTGACCTTCCATATGACCCAGTAATTCCGCTATTGGAAATATACCCAGAGGAACTCAAATTATTCTACAAAAAAGACACCTGCACACGCATGTTTGTTGCCGCTGTATTCGCAATAGCAAAAACATGGAACCAACCATGCTGCTCATCGAAGCTGGACTGGATTTTTTTAAATGTGGCACATATGCACAAAGGAATATTATGCAGCCATAAAGAAGGACAAACATATGGACTTCGCAGCAACTTGGATGGATTTAGTGATCATGCTCAGTGATCTATCACAGAAACAAAGAACAGAGTACCATATGTTCTCATACATAAGTGAACCTTAAACAATTATCATAGT